TTAATCGTCCAATATATTCTCAACGTCATTGTATTGCATGCGATGTTCAATAATCTCAACATCAGTGTATTTATAAACACAACTTCCTACAATCGTCTGCTTTTAACTCTTATTATAACAAAAACTAAATAATACAATATTCACTCACAAAATAAATTAATCAATAATATTTGAACTAAACAGTCTTTTATATCATGACATAAACTGCTCTTCAAGATAAATATTTACAATATTTTTTTTTACTGTTTTTAGTTCATATACAACGTCTGCTTCAACACTTGCAGTCCCTTTGATAGCTTCTATGTGGAACCTGTAGTTCTGAAGGTACAACACCTACCTCATGATCTTCACACTGTTGATCTTATACCTCTGAATGCATGCAAGTGATGGATGGTCTGTCTGAATGAGGAACTCCTCCTTCCTGTATAGATAGTTCTGGAACTTCCGATTTGCAAATACGATGGGCAGACACTCTGGTTAAATCATGGAGTATTTCTTCTCACTATTTAACAGCTTTTTACTTATATATGTTACTTGAAAAAGTCCATCTTCATGTTCTTGTAAGAGTACTGCCCCAATTCCAATGTCTGAAGCATCAGCCTGAACATTGAATGGTTTGTTGAAATCCACATTCTAAGAGTTGGTGAGCTTCCCAACATGTTCTTTGATTTCTGGAATGCCACCTGGTGTGGTTGTTCCCACTTTACGTTGTTTGGCAAGCCTTTCTTGGTCAGGTCAGTCAATGGTGCAGTAATTTCAACATAATTTGGGATGAATTTCTTGTAGTATCCCACTAACCCCAGGAAGGATCTGACTTGCTGCTTGGTCATCAGAGCTGGTGTATCTTGTATGCAGATTATCTTTTCCTTTTCTGTCGGTCCCCCCACTTTATGTCCAATAAACTCCAGCACAGAATATCTGATGTAGCACTTGGATGGTTTGATTGTGAGGCCTGCTGCCCCCACTTGCTGGACAGCTGTCTAAGTCTCTGGTCTTCCCATCTTGCAGTGTGTGTCAGAATGTCATCCACACAGTACTTGATGTTGGTAGTGTTGCGCAGCATTCTCTTCATCATGTGGTTGAATGTTGCTGCTGAGTTGACTAATACAAATGGCACCTTCTTAAACTGGTAACATCCATCTGGTGTCACAAATGCTGTCTTCTCTTTAGATCCTGTATCCATCGGGATTTGTTAATAACCTTTACTGAGGTCGGTCTCTGAAAAGAACCTGGCCCCATCTAGTTTTGCCATGATGGCCTCTGGGTTGCCCATAGGTTTGGAATCGAACATTGTCACGAGGTTCAGCTTCTGGAAGACTATGCAGAAATGGTTTGATCCATCCCTCTTCTTCACAATTACAACTGGTGAACAGTAGGTTGAATTTGAAGGCTCGATGATTCCAGCTTCTAACATTGTCTCAACTTCCTGCTTTATTAGGTCTCTCATTGCATCTGATAGAGCTTCACTTTGACTGGATCCCTGGTTCTGATCTCAATCTTTTGTTGAACAAGGTCTGTCTTTCCTGGTTTATCCATGCAGATATGTGCATACTGGCACAGTAGGTCTTGTAACACTTTTTTCTGTTTGCCAGTCAGTTCTTCACTGATGTTGTCATCTTTGTATGTCTCATCTCCACCTAGCGGTCTTAGGTCTAGTAGGTCCTCATCTTTTCAGACAAAGCCATTGTCATCTGGTTCTTCATCTATGTTAGCTGCACCCATTAGGTTTTTTTCTCTCCCAGAATACTTCTTCAACAAATTGGCATGGTAGATCTTGGTCTTCCCATTCATGTTCGCCTTGTAGTCCATTCTGTTGAATACTTCTTGTACTTCAAAAGGTTCTTTCCATTGCAGTTTGAGTTTGTTGTGGACTGTGGGCAGCAGAACTAAGATCTTTTGTCCAACCTTGAAACATTGATCTTTGGCCTTCTTGTCATAGAAATTCTTCTGACTGCCTTGAGCTGCATGCAAACTCTGTCGAGCGAGTTGACAGGTCTCCTCCAGTTGGTTTCTGAGGTCTAACACACTGGTATGTGTTCCTTACTTCTGACTCTTCTTCTCCTGTCCATAGCTCTTTCAATATTTGCATCGTAACTCATATTTCTTCCATACAGTAACTTGAAGGGTAAAAATCCTGTACTTGCTTGTGGGACTTCTCGATAAGCAAATAATACTGCCTGCAAGTACCTGTCCCAGTAATGTGGTCTCTCTTGGCACACCTTCTTTAGCATGCTCTAAAACTCCATTGACTTTCTCACAAAGTCCATTACATATAGGATTGTATGGGGTGGTAAAGAGTTCCCGATTACTGATGAGTCTGCACCTTTCCTGCATCAGTTCTGAAGTAAACTTGGTCCCTCAAAATATCTCTAGGAGAGATTCTACTACTCTCTCTGTTTCTATCTTTGCAAGTGCTATTGCATCTGGATAACATGTCGCTTAGTTGACTACTGTCAGCACATAAGGGTTGCCCTTGTCAGACATAGGTGCTAGTGGTCCGATCAAGTCCACAGCTACTCTGCTGTTCTATGAGAGGCATCTCCCCCAGTGGCACTTTTGCTACTTTCCCTGTAAGTATTGTCCTTTGGCAGATGTCACATGACCTGCAGACTCTACTCACATCTCCGATGTCTCTCAGCCAATGGAAGTTACTAGTGAGTCTGCTGTTTTCTTTGTTCCTAGATGTCCTCCCACAATTGATTCATGAGCCAACTTCATCACTTGAGTCCAGTATTCTGTTGGTACTATGATCTGTATAACTGCCTTGATAGATTTGGTATAGAACTCCCTTCTGGCCCTCTATTCTATAATTATCTTTCCCCTTTGTTTTATGCTCGACTTTCTCCCGGGCATTGTTCCAAAGTTTTTGCAAAGAAGGGTCTTTCTTCTGTGCTTCCTTCAGTTCCTGCAAACCTAAATTTGTGATGTCACCTTTTGACACTTGTAAGGGGCTTGATGTCTTGTTTGCTCTTCTTTTCTTGAGCTCTGGTAGTGACAGCAGATGCTTCATCAATCTTCTTTCTGTCTAGTTCCTCCAAATTTCTACTACCTGGTATATTTCCTATCACCAAATCATGTATTGGTTCCTTGATACACATGGCCTCAAGGTCTCCTACATAATATGGAGTATCCACCTTTATTTTGCTATAGGGAACTATAGGTGAACCTTGCCTGTCATCTGATCATTGGATACTAGACTGGTTCTAACTGCTGCACTACTGCACCCAGTATCTCATAAAACCTTCACTATCTTGTCTCCAACATAGCCTTCACATATTACCATATTATAATTTGTTGGCACCTCTTGATATTTGTCACATGCTCCCATCACTATTGGCACTGTTGATCCGTTTGCTAACTTGAGCCGACCATTAGTCGTGCACTGATTGATTATGCTTTCTTGTATTGAATTTGACAAGTAGTTTTGATTCTCTTTCTTCTGGCAGCATCATCCATAATGCCAGTCACTCTATTCCTGTTTCTTACCAGCACTGTCTTTGTAAATAGCTCTAGCTGCTTTTTGTTGAGGTTTCTGCTGTTGTTTGCTGGTAATGGACTTGCACTCCCATGCAATGTCACATTTTATAACAAATATAGCATCTCTTCTCCCTTCTGTCTATTAACCTCTTGTCACCTTTGGTAAACTCCTGCTTCTGGTCAGCTATCACTGGTTTCAAATTTAACTGGATATTCTTGGACTTGCCAGTTATACTACCTCCATGGACTTCCACATGCTGTTCTGCCAGCTTGATCATCTTGTGTACATTTTTTGGTACTCTCTCCTTTAGGAACAGTGACATGTCAGTTGAATAAGTGGTCATGAACTTACTACTAATAGGTCTGCCAGTCCCTCAAAACTATTTTCAACATGGCCATGTCAGTCCATCTGGTGAAATATTGCTGAAGACGTGCCACAAACTGAAATACAGTTTCTCCAGTGTCAGGTTTGACTCTTCTGAACTTTTGACAAACACCTTTTTCAGTAAGTTCATATTGTTTCAGTAAAGCCACTTTTAATTTGTCATAAACCATGGCATCTTCTGACGTTATGCCTACATATATTTGTAGGTCCTTTTCCTGTGAGAAGTGAGCTGAGACAGACTGCCCAGTCGCTTTTGTCCCAGTTCTGATTTTGGGTGAATCTTTCATATCTCTCCAGGAAAGCATCCATATCATCTTTATGTTCATCAAATTTGGGCAGCTTAGTTCGGCAAGCCCTGACTTCATTGTCATTCTTGAATCCTTCTTCGTTCGGTTGGATGAGTTTTCCTATCTCAATTGGTACTCTTATTCGCCATTATTTCCAGTTTCTCCTCTCTCTCTCCTTTTCTTCTTTCAGTTTCAGTGTTGTTAACAGTGTCATAATCATTATATACTAAAGCTGGAACACTGTCTTTCCTTGGTTTGTGTACACCTCAGAATTATTCAACTTATGCATGATTTTTATGGGAAAATGTGTTGAAAAATAACCACAAAACCCTTTGATTTTTGAGTTACACCTAGAGTCCATAATTCTTGTCTGTTTATTATATACCCAAATTACCCTAAACTGGCTTCTTACTATTGAACTCGTTAAAGGACTTATGGATATTTGGCTTACCAAGTTATGTAAGCTTGAAAATTCCTGTGTGTGGAGATTAAATATAAAAATATGGACATTTTTTTGTTTTGTTTAAAATCTGTCTTATGATTTTTAGTCATATGTTGAAATACGACTGACTCAGTCTATAACAGTTTATCCATTTCAATGTAGATATAATTTTTCCACTGGAGTTTTTATAGGAAATTATTTTTATTCAGTTGGTTGATAAAATAGTATTTTAATAATTTAACAAGTAGACATTTGTTAAACTTACTGATGTCTGTATCATGTTTAAAAGATGTATAAATATTGTTTGTGTAGTTGTAGTAATATGTATTTTGATGAGCAAAAGTTAGATCTTTTTAACCATAATTTACATAAAGTAAACTTAAAAAAAATATTTTGTTTTTATCAACAGAAGGTAAAGTGTTGTTATTTCGAATGCCAAGTGATGTGCTGACTTCAACATCTAGACCACTGTCTCCTTTTGCTACAAAAGAACAGGTAGAAAGCACCAAAGACCAGGCTGTTCCTGATATCTTCCCACTGCATTTTTCACTTGATCTCCAAGAACATCATATTTATACATCTGAAGAGATATACCGTAAGGCTGTTGTTACTTATGTATATATTTTAAATTCCAAAATTAACCTACAAGAAACAGTTTGTAGTTATTTATATAAGAGCCTAGTATGTGATATAGTACTTGCAGTTTTAAGATTATACCTCCTCTTATGTGCTTGTATGGCCATCTAAAAATTACAGTTGTGTGCAATATTCTGCTCAAAGTGAAATTATTATTATACAGAGGGTTTATTTGAGTACATTATGTTCAAACAGTTTTGAATATGCAAAGTGGCAAGTCATTTGACAAGTACAGCTGATATAAAATCATGGTGGATCAAAATGTATCATAACTACATTTCAGAAACACTGCTTACCTCTCTGCACCACTAAGAGCTACTACCTCCTCCTCCTATTTAACTGCCATGGAATACGCTGCACATGCCACAAGTCTTGAACTAACTCCCACTCCTACACATGCCTACATGTATTATGCCAGCCTATGACATAATTATCATAATGCTGTAGCCCTCCACCAATAGGAGTGTGACATGTATGGTAATCCCTGTGAACACCAGTAAATGATCACAGGCTCATTCTTTCCTTGTTACTGCCTGTGTTTTGGCATGTTTTTTCCTTTACTAATTGCTGTAATTGACTGCCTTTCTTTACTTAGAGCTAAATTGCATTTCTCCTTCTTGCATTTTTGTTCTCTCCACTTGATTACAACTTTTTCTCTATCCAACACATTTCTACTTTAGGCTACTTTCAGTGATGTGTCCAAGTCCAGATATTCCGATTTGGGCATTTTCTCAGCTGACTCAAAGGCTACTGGAGGCACTATATCTATTCTTGAACCTGACATTCACTTATTATCTCTGTATCTCACTTACTAAAGCACATTTCTGCATGTGACAAGTCTTGGATTTCACTCTGTAGCAAGATACCTTTGACACCTTAGATAACTTAGTAAGTTGTGATGAATCATGGTGTGCCAGCAAGTTAACTCTTTCAGCATGGGCTTGGTCCTTGTGACCGACCTTGTAACCATTTTGTGCTTGTTATAGTTTTCATGCCATAACTTTTAAATTAGTAAGCGAATGTTAATGAAATTTGTCAGATTATCAGTAAACATTACAATGCTTTCATATGCAAAATATCAAATATTTTTTATTGAGTCTTCTTTTTGCATGTTGCATATCTATCATGCAAAGTAATATTCATTTTAAGATTGAAAATACTTTTATGCATCAGAAAATTTTGAAATTTCACATGCAAAATATTTATAATGTCCAGATAGTTATCAAATGTTTCCTAAGAAAAAACTTTATATTTTATCTGTTATTTTCAGTTATTAATCTCTGTATGAGTTCAGTAGATTTGACTGATCTCGCAACCACCATAAAAATTAGAAAATAAATATAAATTCTGCCTCTTTCATTCTAGAATGAACAAATTATAACACGGAAACATAAATGTTTAGACTAAGTAGCTTAAATCTCATAACATTATACATTTATATATATTTATTATTTTTATTATACTGACTTTTCAGCTGTGCCTGGTTAGCAATACAGAAGTTACAACAACGTGGCTTACGTGCACTCATGTTACTGTATCAAATAACATAAGACTGACCTTTGGTCTGTGCAAAGTAACTTGTCTTGGCTGTGTTTTAGTAGACTAGTATTTTTGTAAAATACAGTCAAATTTCAATTATTATACATTATATATGTATATAGATTTTTGATATTTTGAAATAAGTTCTTACACTTATTTTTCTTAAAACATAGAACAGTAACTAAAGAAGTAAAGCAAACAATTATCTTTTCTAGTTACGACCTTTTTACTTGGTTGCTGCTTGACGTAGGCTGCTAAGCCTTTAAAAAAATTGTATCTGTAGGATATAAAACAAAATATTTTGTTTTAGGTTTTATATACATAAATTATGATGTTAATACCATAGAATTCCACTATAATTTATCTAGTTTAGTAATTAAGATGTATTTTAGTCTAGAAAAATATGAAATTTCGAGCAGACTAAAGACACAACCTACCTCGCTGAAATATTGGTTCAAGAGAGAGAAATGGCGCCAAGTCTGTTAAAATGGTTGAGAAAGCTACTAGGGGGACATTCTGAGCTTCTGATTGGTTATTCATGTCATGTATAGAAGTAAGTGTATATAAGGGAGCATTTCCAAAAATGGAAAGAGATGAGCGGGGTGCCACTGTGTTTCGTTTAGTACATGACCAATATCTTAGCAAATTGAAAAGATAAGAGGCTCTTATTTTATATTCTAGCTTGTCAGTATCGATAATTTGAGTTTATAAATCGTTCGAAACTATAGACTTTGTATTTTGACTTCATAAACATCTAATTTGAACCAGTGCTGCATTCAACATACCACATGACACACAAGAATACAAAAATCGATGTTTATCTGTGTTTTTT